TTTCTTTAGTGCCTACTAATAAACTAGGTTTAGAAGGGACCTAGCTAAATAATTAGTAAACTAATTATTATAATTAGATAAACTAATTATTATAAATGTTTTAAATGCTTTTTAATTACTTTTTAATTACCTTTTAATAGCTCTTTAATTACCCTTTAATTACTCTCTAATTACCTACTAATACAGCATTGCTAAAGCAATGTAGCAAACATTATATGTGCCTAGTTGCCTAATTGCTAGTACACACTAGCACACATGCAGTCTCTTCTAACTAGTACGCACTAGACTTTCTAGAACTCTGTTTTAACTTTGTGCCTGCTAATTGTTGCTAATTGTTGTCTAAGGTAGCCAGGTCTAGGTCTAGGTCCAGGTCTAGGTCTAGGTCTAGGTCCAGGTCCAGCGTCTAGGTCTAGCGTCTAGGAAGGAAACAGGAACAATAAAAGAAAAGAAAAAAAAATAAGCATATAAAGTATAATAATAAGATACATAACTATAAATAAAAAAAAAAAAAACTTAATCTAGAATAGTTATAGCCTAAAGTTATATTATAGTTAGTCTAAAAATATAAAAAGATTAGATACACTTATTAATATATAATACTAGTAACTAAATCTAACACATGTAACTATTTAAAAAAGGGCAGGGAGGCAATAAGTAATAGTTAGAAAGTAAATATAGTTAATTAAGAAAAAGTATAGTAAGAAAAAGTTTAAAGACATAGTTAAGTAAAAAAAAAGAGTTTAAAAGCGCGCAAAAAGATAGTTTAGCTAATTAAGAAAAGTAATAAAGAAAGAAAGAGTAGAACTATGTTACTATAGAGTGCTTAAGACAGCCTAACGCATAGACAGAGAGGAGACTTAGCTAGTTAATAAAGGTAGACAAGCACCTACAGGGTAAGGTAGAGGATAAAGTAACTATACAGTGTTTAGTACAGCTTAAATTAAAAAAGTAGAAGAAACTTAGCTAATTAAAGTAAAAAAGTTAAAAATAATTAAAAAGAGTTTAACTAAAAAAAAAAGGCTTATATATACTCTAGCTTTTACCTTAGTAGCAAAAGCACTTAACTAGACTAGAGTTTCTGCCTAGCAGTAAAAGTACACATTATAAGATTATTTAAAAGGATATAAAAAGCACTAGTGTTTAACTAGCATAAAAAATTATAACCTTTTAATTATTTTTTACTAATTATAACTAAAAATTACCTAATTTAAAGGTAAAAGTAAGTAAAAATAAGTAAGATATAATATATATAAGTAATTATAAAGCATTAAATTAATAATAAGCAGGCTAGGTAGCAGCAGTAAATAAAAAGAAAAAAAAGTCTTACTAAAGTAAATATATATTGCATGTAATTAATTAATTAGTGTTATAGAGTTAAACTACATTAAACAGCAGGTAGTAAATATAAGTAAATAGTTTATAATAATTAAAACGCGCAGTAATATAACATTACTATAATTAGAATAGCCTTAGCTTTTTTAATTTTTAACTAAGTTTTACTCTAACATAGTTAAGCCTTTATATAACTTTATCTATTACTACTACATCTTTAAATTATTTAAGTAAAATATAAGCATTTTTATAAACTTTTTAAAACTATTAAACTAATAGGCATTATTATAATTAAAAAACTTTTAGAAATAGTAAGCGCGTAAAACTATAATAATATACTAGTAACTAGGTAATCTATAGCTAGGAATTTGTCTTAATACATGTAATATGTAGATAGGCTGTAGGTTAGATAAGGGCGTACAAGCTAATACAAAGAGGCTAGAGAGCAGTTATGTACCTAACACTGCGCAGTTGTTAAAACTAGTAAGCAACTAATAGCGCACAGCGTCTAATTAGCTGCACTAAGTAAATAGTGCTTTATAACACTATTATACATCACAGAAGTGCTTACTATAAGTATATATAAAATATAAATATATAATTACTTTATTTATCTTTAAAGGCTTTGTTAAGACCTTTATTAAAATTACTATTAATTAAATTGTTAACTAAACTCTTAGAGTTACTATAAGTTATGCCTTTAACTATTTCTGTAAATTTTATTATATTAATATAACATAACTTCTCTATGCTAATGCTTGCTAGATTAGTTACATCTAGTGCTAGTATATAATTACTAGATATAACATTACTAACATTAAAGTCTATAACTTTTAATGTTAACAACTTAATACTACTAGCAATAATATTAGAGCTTATAATAGGCTAGGGGAGCTCTTAGTTAATCTAACTAGTTAAGCGCTTACAGCGCCTATAACTTAGCAGATAAATAGCAAGGGCAAATGTCTCTAGCTTAATGTTGCGCTGTGTATACTTATTCTTACTCTTCTTTTTAAAGGCGCCCTCTATTAGCGCACAGAGTTGCATATAAAACTAGTAAGATAGTGTAAGACAACTAAAAGTAAAGTTTACATTATAAGTCTTATTTTTAAAGTGCTGCATGTTAAGCTTATACACATAGTTTATAAGCTTAAGCATAATATTAACTACTTAAAAAGTGTTTAGCTTTCTGTGTATGTTAACTAACCTAGAGGCAAGTATAAACTGCTAAAGTGTTAGAGTTAACACCCTATTTAAGACTAACTAGCAGAGGTGTAGCAGCTTAGTACTATAGCGCTTCTAACTAGATCTAAAGAAGAATACAGCTAATAAATTAATTAAGTAATAAATAATTTTAATATTACTAAACTTAACTACATGCTATAAAGTAAAAAATATTTTAATTTTTTAAAAAAACTAATATATTATTATCTAGTTGCCTTTAGAATTATTATAGCCCTTTTACATAGTAAGTGCAAAGACCTTTTTATATATCTGCTTAAGCAACTTAATGTACTAGTTAGGTAAAAGCTAACTAATAGCCTTATTATAAAAACCTTACTAGTATTACTAGACATCTGCTGCATAGATATCTAGCACCTAGCCTTAGAGATATCTACTGTTACCTATTTTCTAGTAAAACAACATAACTATTTAGGCGCTCTAGCTTAGATATATTAGCAGCACAGCTATATAATACTTAACATTACCCTAATTAATACTAGCACAGTTTAAGCGCATAATATTATATAAAAGATTACTAAAAAAGTCTGTACCTTTAGGCGTATTAAAGTGCATATAAATAATTATGTAAGTAAGTGCCTAAAAGATATAAAAATACATAAGCAGTTTAATTATCTAATCCCTTTTGTTATATAGCTAGGACGCGCTGCGCTGCTTTTTCTTAAAACTGTGTATAAACTTAGCAGTTTTCTAGTTACTCTATACTATTTATAGCTGTGTTTTAAAGCTTAGCTTTTTTAGATTTACAGAAATATTTAACTACTAAAGCTAAATATTATTATGCACTTTATAAGTCTTATTAATAACACTTTTATTAAAAAATATTACTTTTAAATAATTTACCTAGCTAGGTTCTTTACATAGTAGAACTTTAATAGCTAGCATTAACAGCAACTAGTCTTCTAAGCTAATAAAGACCCTTAATACAGCAGCACTGTAGATAGCAGCTATAGCGTGTAACATATAGCACAATGTAATTTGCTTGCTTATATAGTCCTAAATTATGCTAGGCGCTATATAGATCTAATTAGGCTGCAATGCTATACTAAGATTAAACATAGACTAGGTTAAACTATCCTTAGAGATCTATAGACATCTTATAATAAGTGCTATTATTAAGTTCTACTAGATAGCTGTTGCAATGCTTATAGTGTAGTTATAAGTCTAGTTAGTAAAGTTATAATTATTATACATAATTATTAACTAAGAATTATGCGTAAGACCTAGTAGCCTAGCATTAAGTAAGATATAAGCTATATAACATAATATTATAACTTATAAGCTTTTTATATAGTCTGCTATTTTATTAACCTTCTAGTTTATAATCTTATATAAGTTATAAACACTTAAGCCTAACAACATCTTTATAACACACTGTTTTGTACTACTACTATGTAAATATAGACTTAGTAGGCAGGTAAAGTAGTTGCATCTCTTCTAGGCCTAGTAATGTAAGATAATAGAAGTAATTAAATACACCTTACTATTTTATAAACTTTTAGCTTTACTATAACTACCTTAAGTACTTTACTTATTTTACAAAAGTTTTTTAATAAACCTGCTCTAATTTAGAGCTTAATTAGCTATAATTAACTTTAACTTAGTAAAATTAACCTTATCTAGCCTAAAGGCTGTATTATACTAGTTAAAAAACTTTTACTTAATAAAACTATTAAGTTCTTTTATAAATGTAATAAAACTAAAAACACTAGTAGCCTTATTATTTTTACTTAACACTACATAAATATTTAGCTGTTTTAGTGCTAATTAAAGAATTATTTTATGTCTACTAAGTAGTAGAGCCCTTAATAACAGTAGGTTTTACAAATATAACTTAATAAATTTACCTATTAGTATCTGTAGCTTATTTATTAACGCTAGAACCTGCTTTAGTTTTTTTAATTTTAGAGTGTAAATAAGTATAAATAACTAGACGCGCTAAGTAAACACACCTGCTACTTATAAAGTTATAAAGAGATAAGTTATTAAAACTAAAGCCTAAGGCTTAGTAGTAACTATAAATAAAAGTAAAAAGAACATAAAAAAAGGTAATAATAAAAGTAATAATAAAAAAGGTAGTAGCTTATTTGCTAGAGGAAGATAAGAGGGTTGTAGACGCTAGCGCAGACGCAGGGTAGGACTAGTAGACTTATTAGCTATTTTGTACAGTAAACAACGTGCAAAACGCGTAACAATTTAATAAATAATAGTAAAAAGTTGTGTAGCTATTAGCCTAAAGTTTAGAGATGTTTAAAAAAAAAAAAAAAATGCGTAAATATTAATATAATGCATCTTTATATAAAAAGTAAGCACTAAAATTAGTTGTTTATATAATTAATTACTAAAGTCCCTTAGACAGCTAGGGAGAGAAGCTAAATCTAGCATCCTTATTAGCCAGAAAGATAGCGTGAGCGCCACCGGCGCGACTAGCATGGGTTTATGTTGACTAGCAAGGGTATCAGGGGCTCTGCCCCTGTCGGGGCTTCGCCCCTTCTCTCCCCAATCGGCTGAGCTAGCTGAGATAAACCCAGACCGCTGTCATTTCTGAGCGCTAACTTATTATGGCAAAGTCTGGCTCTGGAACCCATGGCACGTGCGATATCGCGGGCAAGACCAGTAGCAACCACGCGCTCTCTAACACTATTCTTCGAAAGATTCAACGTCTCTCCCACTGTCAAGAGGAGTTTCTTTTGTTTAGCGGCAATGATGAACGGAGGTGTAGGTCGTTGTTACTTATGGCGCGATGAGGCGCTAAGTTTCAAGAGAGTTTACAGCTGTTGTGGCTCCTCACCTCGCCCGCTTTCGCATCAAACATAGTTATCATTTCCTACGTATGCAAGTATTTCTTACGTCCTTCCCATTCACCGTCCTCTTTAATACAACGCAAACAAACGCCATTGATATCTCCCTTGATTGGATTCCTCGTCTCGGACATGGCGTTGAGATTCATCCACAACGGACAGTAAATACCGGCTGCGCAAATATGATCTAGACTAGTTTTAGCAGGGCAAGACTATATACCTGCCTGCAATTGCACTAATTGCAGGTTTTAAAAGTGATTGCAGAATATTTCTTACTATACTTAGCTTTAATATTTTTTTATAAGGCTAAACTAGCTTTAAATTACTTTTAAATTTTTATAAAAAGCTTTTTTATAGCTATAGTTATAACGTACTTCATGGGCGAGTCGCTCACACACCTGAGTTGCTTACTTTTGCTAAGACCCCACCCTAACAAACTCTATTATAGCCCATAACAACCTGCTCTGGCACTATATAGTACAGTACAGCCTAGAATATTATTTAGATACTACTTCTACTTCTTGCTTACATGTTTATGTGTTATGCCTAGTCTAATTGCACTATCTGCAGCGCCTTTAGGATAGCTTACCTACTTTAGCTTACACCTGCTTCTTTACCTTCTTTTTGTTACTGCGCGCCCTAAACTTCTTTAAAGATGTTAAGCATAGGCTTTTTTAAATTATTAAAGTCTTTTCTACTTTAATCTACTTTCTTTTATATAATTTATGTTATATAGTAGCCTTATTAGCTGCTTAAAGCTTAGTAATTTTCTATTACACTAACACTAGTTTATATATAATTATTACTGCCCTTTTTAAGACTTTTTTAAACACTTTAACTATAAAAGTTAGTAAACTATTTATATGCTTTTAAATTTTTATTTTTATAAGCATTAATTATAACTTAAGTTTTAAAGTATTACTTAGAGTTTACAACTACTAAGGCTTGTTATATATAGGTAGTAGTAGTAATAAAGTGTGTAACTTTATATTAAGGCTTATTATAACTTATTATAAGTTAAAAGGAACTAATTTAGCGCCTTAAAACTTTTTTTAAATATTACTAAAAGTAATTATAGCATTATAAGCTACTTTAAAGCATAGTAAAAACTTTATTTTTATAATATAAGTAATTTAGTTACATATAAGGTTTTTAGCTTAGCGCTTATACACTTTTTTTAAAGAAGTAAAACAACCTACATTAAGTAGCTATAAAAAGTGTAATAAGTAAAAAAGTATATAAATAGTAATAATCTTATTATCTTTATAGTATTACTAAAAATAAAGTAAGTTATAGCTTTTATAGCTATTAATAACTAGCAGATAGTAGCTGCTAATAGTACACTTTTTTATATATATGTTAAAGTGCTTTAACTAGTCTAAACTAAGCTAATTAGTAGTCTAGCTGCGCTTAAAAATTATAATAACTTAATTCTAAAGTAGATTTTTTTTTATACTAGTTTAAAAAGTAGTTGCTACTTTAAAAGATAATAAAAAGTAGAATAGCCTACTTTTTAGCATTAATGCTCTAGATAGCTATTATCTACTTCTAGTTACCTAGCTAGACTACTTTTAGCTGTCTTTATCTCTCTAAACCTATAATAACTGCTTTAGTAGATATTTAGCCTATTATAAACTTTATTTTATTAAAGTTGTACATGTTATTATCTTAAATGCTATACTTAGCTTTAATATTTTTTATAAGGTTAAACTAGCTTTAAATTACTATAAAATTTTTATAAAAAGCTTTTTTATAGTTATACTTACACTTAAACTTTACTTTAAGCTTTAGGTAACACTTAATAAACATATTAAGCTAGTTTATGCTAATATAGCTTATATTATACTTAGTGCGCAAAGAATTAGCTATATTAGCTATAGCTGCTAGCTAGGGGGGAAATTCTTACACATCTAGCTTAAGTATGTGCTAAATAATTACTTACTTCTTGTTATTATTTAGCTTTTATAAGTTAGCTATATAATTAGCTTAGAAAAGTTATTTAGTGTGTTAGTTACTTATTATTTTTTAAAAGACCTTATAAATAGCTATAGCATGTTAGTTAAAAAGTATTATATTTTATTTAAAAGCCTAAAGTGTAAGCTACATCTAATATTCCTTTAACATATTTAAGTAGTGTTGTTAGAAATGCATTAGTGTAAAAAAAGTAGTGTAGCAAGGTCTTAGTAAAAGTAAGCAACTTAGGTGTGTAAGCAACTCGCCTATAAAGTACATTAGTAATAAAGTATATAACTAGATGTTAAAAGCTATTTTAACTTATTTTAAGTTAAATAAGACTAAACTAGTGCCTTAAAACTCTTTTTAAATATTACTAAAAGTAATTACTGCATTATAAGTGTGTATAAAGCATAGTAAGAACTTAAGTTTTATAATATAAGTAATCTAGTTATACATAAAATCTTTAGCTTAGCACTTATACACTTTTTTAAAAAAGGTAAAACAACCTACATTAAAAGGCTATAAAAGGTTTAATAAGTGTAAAAGCATGTAAATAGTAATAATTTTATTTTTTTTATAGTACTAACGTACCTAACGGGTTGGCCGGCCACTTTTGCCAAGCCCCCACCAAAACCACCCCATTCTGGCGCGAAACTGCCTACTTTAGCCCTGTATAAAGTAATACAACATAAGATATTATTTAGAGTCTACTTTTACTACTTTCTTACACATACGCAAGTTATGCCTAGTCTAATTACACTGCCTACATTGCTTTTAACTTAGCTTACCTCTTTTAGCGCGCACCTACGTCTTTAGCTTCTTCCTATTACTACGCGCTCTAAACTCCTTTAGAGCAGTTAAACAAGCCTTATCCTTAACTATTAAGGTCTTTTTTGCCTAAATCTGCTTTCTTTTATGCAATCTATGTTGCGTGGCAGCCTTATTTGCTGCTTAAAGCTTTATAATCTTCTTTTACGCTAACACTAGCTTATGCATAATAATTAATGCCTCTTTTAAAACCTTTTTAAAGGCTTTTACTATAGACATTAGTAAGCTATTTACATGCCTTTAAATTCTTACTTTTACAAGCATTAATTGCAACTTAAATTTAAAGGTATTACTTAGAGTTTACAACTACTAGGGCTTATTATTAATAGGTAGTAGTAGTAATAGAGTATATAACTAAATGTTAAAAGCTATTTTAACCTATTCTAGGTTAAATAGAACTAAACTAGCGCCTTAAAACCCTCTTTAGATATTACTAGAAGTAATTACTGCATTATAAGCGCGTATAAAGCATAGTAGAAACTTAAGTTTTATAATATAAGTAATTTAGTTACATATAAGATCTTTAGCTTAGCGCCTATACACTTTCTTTAGAGGGGTAAAACAACCTATATTAAAAGGCTGTAAGAGGTGTAATAAGTGTAGAGGTATATAAATAGTAATAATTTTATTCTTTTTATAGTACTGCTAAAAATTAAGTAAGTTATAGCTCTTATAGCTGTTAATAATAAAGAGCTAATAAGTGCTTATAACTTTTCTCTTTATATGCTTATTAAAGTGCTTTAACTACTGCAGCCTAAGCTTATTTATTATCTAGCTGTTCTTAGAGACTGTAATAACCTAGTTCTAAGGCAGATTCTCCTTTTTATACTAGGCAGAGAGGTAATAGCAGCCCTTAAAAATAATAAAGAGTAGAATAGCCTACTTTATTATGTTAATGCCTTAGATAACTATTATTTACTTTTTATTACTTTACTATATTGCCTTTAGCTGTCTTTATTTTTTTAAAGCTGTAATAACTGCTCTAGTTAATATCTAGCCTATTATAAAGCCTAACTTGTTAAAGTTATATGTGTTTTTATTTTAAATACTATACTTAGCTTTTATGTTAGCTACTAAGTAAAACTAGCTCTAGATCCTTATAAAGTGCTTTTTTATAATTATACTTATAATTAAACTTTATTATAAACTTAGAGCAGTGCTTAACCTACATACTAGGCTAGTTTAAGCTAACCTAGCCTAGATTACACTCTGCGCGTAATAAATTAGCTATATTAGCTATAGCTGTAAGCCTAAAGGGAAATCTGCGCGTAATAAGCTTAAGTATGTACTTAACAACTACTTTTTTTTTAAGCTTAGTTAGATTTCTTAATTTAGGCTAGCATTCTGCTTCTAAAGGCTGTCTAGCGCGTTAATTACTTAGTGTTGTGTAAGAGACATTATAGATAGCTATAGTGTGTTATAAGAAGAGTTTTAAGTTTTGTTTAAAAGCCTAAAGAGTAAGCTGTATCTAACGTTTTTTAGAAGATTTAATCTAGTGTTGTTGTTAAGGCATTATGTAGATAGGTAGAGTGTGGTAGAGGCTTAGCAAAAGTAGCTGGCCAACCTGTGTAGCCGGATAACCTGTTAGGTACGTTACTAAAAATTAAGTAAGTTATAGCTTTTATAGCTATTAATAATAAAAAGCTAATAAGTGCTTATAACTTTTTTTTTATATGCTTATTAAAGTGCTTTAACTACTACAGCCTAAGCTTATTTATTATCTAGCTGTTCTTAAAGACTATAATAACTTAGTTTTAAAGTAGATTTTTTTTATACTAAGTAAAGAAGTAATAGTAGCTTTTAAAAATAACGTACTTCACAGGCAAGTTGCTTACACACCTAAGTTACTTACTTTTGCTAAGACCCTACTAAACTACCCTTCCTACACTAATGCATTCCCCACAACACTACTTAGACGCGCTAAAAGAATGTTAGATATAGCTTACACTTTAAGCTTTTAAACAAGACATAAAACTCTTAAAGAAATGTGCTATAACTATGTGCAAAGTTTTATAAAAGACAATAAATAACTATAGCACTAGACAACCTTTATAAGCTAATTCTACAGCTAAATTATAAAGGCTAGGTAATAAAAAGAAGCAGGTAATTGTTAAGACTATACTTAAGCTATATGCGCAAGAAATCTCCCCTTAGATAGCATTTATAGCTAATATAGCTAATTTTTTGCGCGCTAAGCATAATCTAGGCTATGTTTACATAAACTAGCCTAGTACATTTGTAAAGCGTTATTTAGAGCTTAAAGTAAAGGTTTAAGCGCAAGTATAGTTAAGAGATATTTAGCTAATTATAAACCCTGTCTTACTAAAGTTGTACGTGTTATTATCCTAGATGCTATACTTAGCTTTAATATTCTCTATAAGGCTAAACCTGCCCTAAATTACTTTAGAACTCTTATAAAGAGCTCTTTTATAGTTGTACTTACGCTTAAATGTTACTTTAAGCTCTAAATAACGCTTTATAAATGTACTAGGCTAGTTTATGTAAACATAGCCTAGATTACGCTTAGCGCGCAAAGAATTAGCTATATTAGCTATAAATGCTATCTAAGGGGAAATTCCTTACGCATATAGCTTAAGTATAGTCTTAATAATTACCTGCTTCTTTTTATTGCCTAGCTTCTATAATTTAGCTGTAGAATTAGCTTATAAAGGTTGTCTAGTGCTATAGTTATTTATTATTTTTTATAAAACCTTATATATAGCTACAGCATATTTTTTTAAGAGTTTTATGTCTTATTTAAAAGCTTAGAGTGTAAGCTGTATCTAACATTCTTTTAGCGCGTCTAAGTAGTGTTGTGGGGAATGTATTAGTGTAGGAAGGGTAGTTTAGTAGGGTCTTGGCAAGAGTAAGCGACTCAGGTGTGTAAGCAACTCGCCCGTGAAGTACGTTAATAAAAAGTAAAATAGCTTACTTTATTATATTAATACTTTAAATAACTATTATCTACTTTTTATTACTTTACTATATTACTTTTAGCTATCTTTATTTTTTTAAAGCTATAATAACTACTTTAGTTAATATTTAGCCTATTATAAAGCTTAACTTATTAAAGTTATACATGTCTTTATTTTAGATACTGTACTTAGCTTTTATATTAGCTACTAAGTAAAACTAGCTTTAAATAACTTTTAGATTTTTATAAAGCGCTTTTTTATAATTATACTTATAATTAAACTTTATTATAAACTTAAAGTAGTGCTTAACTTACATACTAGGCTAGTTTAAGCTAACCTAGCCTAGATTACACTCTACGCGCAAGAAATTAGCTATATTAGCTATAGCTATAAGCTTAAAAGAAAATCTGCGTGTAATAAGCTTAAGTATGTACTTAAAAACTACTTTTTTTTTAAGCTTAGTTAGATTTTTTAATTTAGGCTAGCATTCTACTTTTAAAGGCTGTCTAGCGCGTTAATTACTTAGTGTTATATAAAAGACATTATAAATAGCTATAGCATGTTATAAGAAGAGTTTTAAGTCTTATTTAAAAGCTTAAAAAGTAAGCTATATCTAACATTCTTTAGAAGATTTAATCTAGTGTTGTTGTTAAGGCATTATGTAGATAGGTAGAGTGTAGTAGGGGCTTAGCAAAAGTAGCTGGCTAACCTGTGTAGCTGGCTAACCTGTTAGGTACGTTAGTATATTAGTTATTTATTATTTTTTTAAAAGACTTTATATATAGCTATAAAGTATTACTTTAAAAGTGTTATATTTTATTTAAAAGCTTAAAGTATAAGCTGTATCTAATATTATTTTAGCATGTCTAAGTAGTGTTATTAGGAATGCATTAATGTAGAAAGAGTAGTTTAGTAGGGTCTTAGTAAAAGTAAGCAACTTAGGTGTGCAAGCAACTGGCCTGTAGTGTACGTTAGCTAGAGACTGTCTCTATTACCTATTCAAATCTAACCTAGTTTAGACGTATATTAGTAGAGCTACAATAATTCTGATGGGAACTTTAATTGAGTGAAGAATATTGTTCGAGACGAGAATTTCATTGGTGATAGGAGCTTCAAACAGAGGAGTAAATATGGTGGTCAGGAAAGCCGACGCAGCCACGGGAACCTCAATCGAGCCAGAAATGTTGTCCGAGACGAGAGTTTCAATGGTGGGAAAGTATAGACGAGTTTAAGGGTCTAGATATGGGCCACTTGGTACCAGAATCTATGCCACACGTCAAGAGCTGGGCCACTGAACAAGGGAGTGGCCCGAGCCTGGGACGCAGGTTGTCCCGGATCTGAGCCAATACTTGGCTTGCTCAGGTTTGCACAGTCACAAGCTCAGGTTACTTAGTCACTGCTCAGTTTTAAACCCTTGAATGCTTAGGTTCGAAAGCAGAAATGAACTTTGGTGAGGTTAGTCTCACCCGTAGAGAACATCATGTACTACTTATTGTTGGGCTATGCACGCTTGTCTTTGCTGGATTTGACGAACTTTCAACCTTGGCTTTGGAAGATAGGGCAATGCTAAATGGGAGTTTCTAATGAATGGTGAGTCATAGTTACATAGGAGGAACATGCCAATGTCTGACTGATAGCCCTGACCTTTTCTTCTAGCCATTCTCGATGGAACACCACTGCCACAGCGCTCATAGTTCTACAATCGCCTACAAAATAAACTTCACCCTCGGACACTCCGCTATAATTCTCACCCAATATTACTTCACGGAATTTCTGATGGAAGTGGATTTCGGTTGGCTCCTCTCGCTGATGGTCAGAACTGCGGCTGACTTCAGATTCAGCCTGTGCAATAGTTATTCGTGAAATCTAGCATCTAGCTTCAGTCACTTAAGCCTACAACACTTAAACTCCCGCTTGCCTTCCCACGCTTCCTGAAACAACTGTCCAAATAACATAGCAAACCCCAACGACCGTGAGGTGGACTCCCTAAGGCCATAACACGATTGGCACTTCTGATTCCAGAAGCATACACACGAGATCCCTCTCCCAAAGCTCCTTTCTCCCAATACCAATAGAATTGCTGTTACATACAAAGACACTTGTGGTGCCCGTACTTCTCTTGAATTGCTCCTGGAGAATTTACAGCCCTAGTTCTGACAAAGCCCCCCTAGCTCTTTGCAGGCTCCAAGGCGCCTATTAGCGGTGTTTCTCCCACTCTGTTAGGTAGTAGGATAATGCGTCTCGTACCGAGCGTCACGTCGAGATCCATCTGCGGTCATTATGCATCCAGCACCCTAGATTGAATACCTCTCTGCGAGGTCTTCTGTTGCTCCTCGTCCTGGAGGTAGATACGCTTCGTGACCCGGCGGTGCTGGCGCCCAGCGTGGTGGTGCGGATGAATGTTTCGGCAAGTGTGCGTTCGACCATCTCGTCTAATGTTGGAAAGTCATGCGTCTTTCATTGTGAGCTTTTGGTTGTCGGCCCATGCCGCCTGTATCCGCGTTATTCGGTGGATCCCCATCCGCGGCCTTGTAGGCCTCCTGGTCCTCTTTCAACATGATTGTATACCGCTAATAAATGAATCTAAGATCTGGAACCTACGATGACAAAGGCTCCAGAGTCTCAGCATTCGGATTTCTTTGAAAGTCACTCAAGGAGAGACTAGGGCTGCACCGCGGCTCGAACAGAACAAAATCGGTAGACTCGAGCTGGGGTTCACCCGTAGTATACCTTGATCGCTCTCTCGCGAGGCATTAAACTCAACAGGCCATAGATTTTGTCTTTCGGATGGGAGGCCAATTACGTCTGAGCGAAATTTAGAAGCTGATAGAAGATGTAATATTGCTTGAAGCTGTCATATGTGAGATGAGTAAATACAATGCCGCACATAACTCATAAAAAATTCCGAATACAGTTTCTGAATCTCTAGTTCTCAATCTAGGAGTATGCTAACTCTATGAATCTCATGCCACAACCGAGATGAATCAATGAGACTAAACCACGGCAGCTCTGAGGCCCCGTGAGAACTAAGGCATGCCTTGAGAGAGACACCTCTGTATGAACCATGCCCATCTCTAGTATAGTCGCTAGAATAGCCTTGCGAGAACCTGCAACGAATGCTCTTCGAAAAGGCTGTTTGCGTGGCCGAGAGTGTCCTTTATATCTTCAGAATGAGGTCTTTTCCAACCAGCTCAAAAGCGGCCCAGGTGTTCGGTTGAGTTTGTCTCAATTCTCTTCATGTTAAGAATCCTAGGCCTTCTCTACGATGCGAACTCGACCCAATTCACTGCCCCAGGTATACTAAGGCCAAATCACAGTCCGCATTGCCCCCACAGTCCTACTTTAGCCGGATCAGAACCTTGTCTGCGCGAGAGTAGAACTTCCCCATCTAAGTTCAGTCTATGTTCTTCTCGTTGGCGTCATTTCAATCAGAACAGAGAGCATTTACCCAAAGATGGCGCACGTTCTTCTGTTAGCGAAGCCTATTAAACGCTAGGATAAGGATGCGTAATCTAAGTCCCATAGCCGCATGTAGCATACGATATGGTCGTTGAAGTTCTGGGGCCTTTGAATGGTGATCGGAGTTATCTGCCTAATTGACGGCGTGTCATGGGGAATTTTGTCCATTGTGGTGTTGCAAGTGCCAGAAGATCAAAGGACATGCGACGATGGAAACAGACTTCAAGCAAGAAACGGAAGAAAAGGTAAAAGAACAATGATCAAAGAGAGGAAGAGGTGATATGATTATATGAATGCTTCCCCTTACCTTATCAGGAGACATCTCGTCGGCTTAGACTTGCTTACACGTGATTGGTTCTTGGTGTTGATGTTTCCTTCACAAAATGACCTGACGATTGACCCTTCTCGTGCGCCAAGAGCCCTACTCTGCACGGTAAAGAGCATTTCTAGCCTAGTCTTGGCGTGGCTGTGTTGGAAACAGAATTGCATGTCGGTGGAGGGAAGCCGAGTTTGACAGTTGCGTAATTCGCTCCTACCTTTTTTGGTGACCGGAATAGATAGTCCAGATTGGGTATAGTGCCTTGGGTTCCACCCCCACCCGTCAAAGGGTTTTCGAATAACACCCACCATCCTTTTGCTTCTCATCTGCACTGTCAGCTGTCACCCGGACTTCTCCAACTGGTGCTCTCAGATTCGATCATGCATCCAACATCTCCGCCATTTCCTTTTTACCCCCACCATGCCCGGTGTCCATGTTCGATGCTGGCATCGTGAGGATAAAACTTCATGTCATGTCCTTCAGACGGGACAAAACACACTAGAACGCCTGAGACACGACTGCGTCTTATATCTCCACTGGCATTCGAGGCCTCTTATTGACAGAATTTGCTGCATATATGCCCAACCCTTAGGTAGTAAGGCCCAACGCGGCCCAAGGTAGTATTCCGCGGAGCCAATCAATTGCGCCACATTTTACTTACCGAGTCAAAGTGTCGATGGCTCTTCAACCTCGCTGCGCCTTCTGCATGGGTTTCTTCGGCTTCTGGTCCGCGGGGAATCCACGTTGCGGTCGAATATTTTCTTCGCCAATCATCCAGGATTTAGCGTCAGACTTCGCGAGTTTACCCTTAGAATCGACACCGATTATCGTATCCAGGGAACCCGATGTGGAACTGTCATTGCGGTGAAGTCGATGATTAGCCAACTTAGGACCCCGAAAGCTCTTCGGCATCCGCTTTCCCTACATCCTGCATGCTTATGCCGTGGCCTTGGAGCCTGGAGGCTCTGTCCATGAATGGACGGCGCTGTATTTCTCAAGCACATTTCTCGAGCACATTTCTCGTTCATGCCCTTTATCCCGGTTGCTCTTCGCTATTCCCTCCCCTCACTCCAGCCTTGCGGCGAAGCCCACTTGCCCCTTCTAGCCGCCGAACTTGAAAACTGTAAGCGCTTTCTACTCCAGGACTCGATTTTTACCTGATTTCTCTCTCAAATTTGATCGACGAATTATGTTACCACTCTGAAATGTATCATGTCCGCCCCCATTCACTTTCATGCACTAAAGCAGTAGTGATCTCCCTCTTGTAGACTGGTAGCCAGTGCTCACGCGACTAATAGATCCTCCAGTTCTCATCCCCGCCAAAGCCCCCTATCCCTGCTCAGCATGAAACCTTGGTCTGTACTGTCTGGACTTCACTAGTGACTTCAGCATGGCCCTAGAAACTGGAAACCAACCGATCTTACAATTTGTTAAACGTTACCCGACCTCCACGAATGAACAAACTCCCTGGACTGGACTTACCTTCACTCTTGATATTGGTTCAGATATTTTTTGGGAGAAGTTGAAGAATGCTTACCCATCAATAACTGATCATAAACAGCGCAAGCACAAGGCTGTTATCGAATTTCTGGAAGCTGAACTCCAGGATATGAAGATGAAGGAAAGGCAGCGAGCAGGCGGAACAGTTAACGTCGAGAGCGAAAACCTCACCAGTCCTAAGAGTTTTTCAACTGACTTCTTTGATGCTCTTGGGAACGAAAGCGGACCAGGGAGTGCATCACCCCGTAGTGGCACCTCATCTGCAGCAAGCCCCCATCAAGAATCACAGCCTGGGGATCTTCCTCAATCCAACCAAAATCAGGACGTCGGCTCCGGACCGCTACCCCCGCCAACACAGACATCGTCGGGCCAAACCATCGTGTTTAGTGCCTACGATGGTACTACAGTCCAACCAAAAACGAGGAAGAAAATGACTCTTGAGGAGCGCCGCGCGTATGCAGAAACGCGCAAGAGAGGAGCATGCCCAAGGTGCAAGCAATCGAAAGGAAGAGTACTTATATACCCCATTCAAGACCCATTGTGACTATCGAGTTTTGGTCTGATGAGTCTCAGTGCACCCACTTCGAAGATTCGGCAAACCAATCATATGGAACATGTACCCCGAAGCCGGGCATGAAGAGGTATGTTGGGTGGTTGTGATATGTCAGGTTTTACTTACCACTTCCGCAGGAAATATAAGGGACTCACTCAGTGCAAGTTGGGGCCGAAGAAGGCGCTCAAACTTGAGGAAACAGCAGACTGCCTCAATCGAGCTCTAGACAAACCGCGACCTGATACGTGTCCGGGAGTCGCCCCGCATAATCTCAGTGATGCCTTGGTGGTAACCCCTTCCTCGGGCGATCCGTTTACTGGCGGACCTGGGGGGGTCGATGGGGCATATAATGTGCCTGACAAACAGAAACCAATGTACGTACCCAATCAACCGACATCGGAGCCGTTTGAAACTCCAATACCTGGAGATGAAGATTCGAGATGGCCATATCCCAGCAACCAGGATTATTATGATTCCATATACCTTCAAGATGGCTCTAGTGTGACTAGACCGCATTCTCCACCCTCTCTTCACCAAACCCTGGACCCAATGATGTATATGCCTTCTCACCTGGATTCCCAATACTTGAATCCTGATAGATAAACTGTCCCGACCCTCGTCTGGAAAATGCCGGTCCCAGCTAGGATACCAGTCCCACAGGATCTCGAAACTCAACAAAAAGGAGCTACATGGAGTATAATACCTGTGAATTTCCCTGTGTGTCTGTGGACCTTAGGCATACATGCCAGGATCTCGAGAGCATAAATCCTCAGGAGCCTGTGCCGTGGCCCGCTAGGCGTTCCATACCGTTCCACTTCTGCCCGTTAGCTGTTCATGCTCACATCTGTATGGGATCTGTTTGATTAAGATAATTGGCCTTCCACCCTAACCCAGAACCCGTCTTTTGATCAGTGCAGCCTTTCTACCGGCAATAGTGCCTTTAGAACACATTTACATGGATGAAGCTCCTGCTATAAGGCTATAGTTATACAACATCCTCGGGCTATCGGCTATCGTCCCTTTATGAAGAGGGTTCTCAGCAAACACTCCCAGAGGTCTAATTTTAGCCCTCAACAAGAACTAGCGGAACGAACCGACAGTATGTATTCTAGCTAGGTGGGTAAGGATTTTAAATTATTCATGCCGCTCCTGCCCTTCCTCTCCCTCCACACTATTATACCAACTTCAACAGCTTCTTTGCTGCACACACATTATTACACTTCTTCCTACCTTCATATCCCCAGAATCTCTTTCCCATAGTCCCTGTATCGACTAACCTTGGGTTTTGTGGAACTAGCCCCTGGAGACTAAGCAAAGTCTGGCCATTTTCTATCCGTGTGGGACGGTCTTCAAGCCCGGACCGTTCCTTAACTACGATAAAGCCACAATGGGTCCATCCAGAAGGTCTAAGGTAGCGTCGATCTGAATACGTTCCGATGCCTGGATTGATCAACGGTTCCACCAAAATCTGGGCTGCTTTACAGGGATACTTTGTGGAGGTTTCTACTTCATTCTTTTCTCTATCTTTACCGGTTCTCCTGGCCAACAACGATGGAACTCAACTTCTCGACTGCCCACTCACATATGGAAATGGCCCGGCTCGATTCTGTCGATGGTTGCATGGAGCAATCGTGCTAATTAAAGGTCACCGTCTCTGTGGTGATACCCCAGCACTTGATATTGTACGATGCCGAGGGCCCAACATGTCACATAGCCGAATCCCTATGCTTATATCCCTTAAACCTATCCATGGCCACTTTCATATGGATCTCCTGCAATAGATACAGACCATTCCGAGCAAATTCTTCGCCAGCCCAATTGGCCAAGGTTATTTGGCCCTTTGATCTACTCTCTGGAACTACCCAAGATACTGAACTCGTCGCATCTTAATGCCGTGGAACTGGACCAAGCTTGACTAGCCATTGATATCAGACTACGTTACCTTGAGGACTACTGACGGATCCTTGATGGAATGACCATGGTTGAGGTGGTTGCTGGGGGAAGTGGAATGTGCCCAGGGGGCGTGGAACCATACTAGACTCAGGGATTGGCTCATCCTCGAAACTGCAGACGTCTCCAATCATTACGATAATCCCGCCGGCCAACCCAAGGCCTGGATCAGAACATGGAAAGGGAAATGTTATGCCTCAGGACATTTCTTATTTATCAAAGAATTGCTTAGCAGTCGGGGGTTTTCGCGGGGTCTTTTTCCTTACCAGCATTTCCTATCGGCATCCAAGTGGGACGATTTCATCGATTTCGGTCATCTTTCGGCGCTTCCTTGAAATACTCTACTTGGAGTGCAGGATTCATATCTGCAGCATATTACAATCAACATTACCATATTCCAAACATTTTCGAACGTATTCGGTCTTTACCTTTGGCGTTATTCTTTGGTTACTGGCCTTACTGGCCTTTACATGTCCGTGGATAGGTTTGAGTAAGACAGCCACCAAGCCATTAGAAGCTACCAATTTGTGACCCTCTGTTTGCTGGATCCACTTTCCGCCTGACCTTACAGCTCTTTTCGCTAGGATACGATGCCTAGTTTCTTTTATAGTCAGTCTGATTTTGTTGTTTGCCAATATCGCCGACTGCCTGGGGACCATTTGGAATGACTGGCCATTGTGCACTGATGGAACATACACTGACAATACATGTTTACAGACCTTCCCCGCCTTCGAGCTCTCCATCCCCGCCTAACAGTTGCGCCACTTCGATTGCACAAACCCCTACCAGTATCCCTACACCAATTTCCATCTCGTCAATCGATACGACGCGTTCTTGAACGATTCATATGACCATACGATATTCGGTTTCATCATACGATTCAAAATCAGCAACAACAAATCTACGTCTCCGTTCCAACACTATACGTTTTCTTCCTTGGGTTTGTTGCTAGAGGGCCTAGGCATTGGTTTTTCTATTTCAGAAAAGAGAAAAAACATACTATACGGTTGTTTCATTTAGTTTGAGTAATTATTATACGTTCACCTCCTAACCTCTTATGATTTATGGGTATCTCTTTCCTACACTGGATGTAGCCTCGAAGGCTTTTCACCTGAGGAGAGAAGTGATTCTGAATGGGCATACCATATACCCGTGATTGATCTGCGCCTTTGGACGCGAGATAGAGTGTCGCATTGCACTTGGTGTTTGTTACTGGTTAGAGAACGTGAAATGGTGATGACACGTGACATGAAGTAGAAGATGCCTCACTTATCGGCAGTCGCTCGGTGCTTGTCAACCTTCTGATTGTGTTTGACTAATGGAACGGCGGCTTCGGAGTGCTTTCTGAAGATTAATGATCACAACGGTGAAAGTGTGGTTTGGGTAGTGCGTCTACATGCGGCTAGCGCCTGGTGGTATTGGATTTGCCTCGGCTCCGCCCAACGCGCCTTCGCGGAAGTCTTGGCAAACGTACACCTCACCAGCCTCCCGTCCTACGTCTGTAAACCCCCCTTTGTTCTTCTCTGAATTGAAACTTCGGCTTCATTGTTCTGCTTCTCCTGCAATGATAACTTCGACCCGCAGGTGGTTACGGCGGAATCGCACCAATTTTGCCATCGGGGCGGGCGTCCTGGGCGCGGGCTATCTGGCGGGTCAGTATGTGCTGGGGAAAGTGTCAGAGGCACGACAGCGGATGAGCGACGAGCGGATAGCGAAGGAGAAGTGTGTAGAAAGCCCAATTGCCTACTTTGATATGTGGCTAACACATTACAAAGTCTTCGTCGACGCTTCGAACAGAACCAGGAAGACTGTACATTCACCGTCCTCGCCATCCTCCCCACCGCGACCGAGAATATCTTGGACGCCATCCCCGTGGAGCAGATACTCGACGAATTGCAGAAGCACAAGGCGGAGAGACTGGCCAGGAGCGTGGGGCCGTCGGAGATAGCGTCTTCCGCCCCGCCGAGTGTGACGGATGACGATGGCAAGAGCTTGACCAGCTTCCAAAGCGAGAGCTACGTCCATGCCAGCCAGATGGAGGGACAAGCCGAGAGCTCTGAGGGTGGTGCCGAAGCCACGCCTCAGCCAACGCCTCAGCCGTCGCCGAAGCCGAAGAAATCGAAGGCGCAGCTGTGGAACGAGATGAAGATCAGCTGTACGGTCCCTAATTACCTAATGACGTACTAGAGCTAACCTAAGTAGCTATCTCGAGAGCATTCACTTTACTATATACATTGTCCCTGCTTACGCTCCTCACGAGGATACAGCTTAACCTTCTCGGGAGGCGGAATTATCTCGCCAGCGTTGTGTCACTCGCCTCCCCACCCACGCAGGAGTCCAAGATAAGCCTGGAGAACCACGATGACGACAACTTCGAGCACGCATACGGCAATGACTTCGAGACAAATCGACGATATCTCTCGCTGAGCTGGTGGCTGCTGCATCGGGGGTGTATTGAGTTGATGCACAAGGTTACAGCTGCCGTGAAGGAAGTGTTTGGAAGTGTGAATCCGAGGGAAGAGATTACCCTGGAAAAGTTGTCAGAGCTTACTCTAGAGGTGCGGAAGAAGATTGAGGGGGCGACTGAGGAGGAAAGGAGGTCAGTAACCTTCCGCTGCCCCACACCGCCTTCCCTAACTCAACATAGAAGTTGCAAATGGCTCCGCTATCTCCTGCCTTCACAAGACCAGGAGGACTACGTCCTCCAGGAATCAGGCATGACAAATGCCTCCAGCGCCCCCGCCTCTCCATCTCTCCGCCGCCTCATCGATGAAACCTCAGATCTTATCGACTCTCCATCGTTCACCCACGTCCTCACGCTTCTCCTCGACTCGGCCTTCTCCCACCTCATCGACACTAAAATCTCCCAGCTGTCGTACAAGATCCCACCCACGTCCGCTTCCCCGGCGCGCATTCAAGAGATTGTTGGTGCGGATGCTAAAGCGAAGGTTGCGAATAGCCTTGCTGTCTTCTGCAGACAGGCGCATAGCATCGGCAGTGGTGCGAATAACGAATACCTTGCTGCTATTGAGCAAGTCCGCGACCTCGAGGCTTTCGCTGCTGTGGTGTATAGCAGCAATTTTGAATTCGAGACTCCGGATGGTGGATCAACTGAAGCAGGAGGTGCAAGTAGACCTATGACGGCGGCGGGATGGGATAGCCAGGTAGGAAGCGTCAGGACGAGTTTTGCAGGCACGGGATTGGAGAGCCAGGTCGGAAGTGTGAGGACGAGTTTTGCAGGCGCGGACAGTGGTTTTGAGTCTGCGTGGGGAAAAGCTTTGGCGAAAGAGGACGTGAAAAAGGTGTAACCAGTCTCCAGTTGTTATTATCTTTGTTGTATGATATGTCTATTGATTAAGATTGATGGATGGATTCGGATAGGGGATAGTGAAGATACCCTGGTGGGATGATATTCTTAATGGAATCGTCACGGCCCTGCTATTTTCCGATCCAGGATGGAGGAATTGTGGCATGTGAGTTTAGCTAGGGATACAGTTTTAGATTGCTAGTATTATGTAATGAAGTCTAGTCCGAAAAGCCTGCTCAGAAAATATAGCAGGGTGAATATCCTACCCTGATATCGTGAAAAGGCCTCTGTTGCTTACACAGTTATAGGGATGAATATGAAAGGAGGATGAAAAAGGGGTATAAACAAATATATACGAAAAGGGGTGGACAAACCAGTCTGGAATTCAAAACTTCACTTTTCACCTCACATCCCTGAGCGTGATTTGTCCCCTTCGTGGGTGTTTCCTGAATCTCTTCCCTAATCCAAATCGATCAAATTACCCGTTGTTCCTTTGCTGTCTGCATCTTCAATCTTCTCTTCCTCCCCATCAGAAGCGGGTACGTGTTGTCTCAGCTTCATCTCATGTTCCTCGTTCTTACCCGAATTCATAATTTGGCTATATACCGTCTCATAAACCGGCGGCTTTCTATCACCCATGCATTAGTACTCATTCTCCAAATATGTCTCCCCTCTGTCTCTTTGGCACTCACCTTAAAGTCACCTCCAGCCCCTGGTCCAGCCCACCATCATCCCTCTCCCGCCCTCCAATCCTCAACCCCCGATTAAACGGGTTCTGCGGATGTCCCGGATTCACCAAAAAATCCAATTCCTCCGAATTCCCCGCAATCTGGCCCTTCTTCAATGCCGTCAACATCTCTTGTGTCAACCTCGCCTCCTTATACCCTTGATCAAACCCCACTGCCACTGCTTCTTCCACTGCTTCAGATCGCCCGACCCCTTTCCCTGCCGCGAAACCCCGGGCAAATTCCGCTTCAGAGATTTGCGCCGTGATGGATGCTTCTAAGGAGGACCGCAGCGAGGCTTCGACGGCAGAGTGGACGCGGACGCTCAGGTGCGCTTCGCGGCTTGAAAGAGCTTCTTCGCGGAGTTCGAGGTCCCGGACCCGCGCTGTGATGTTGTTCCCCGCACGCTGGTATTTTGCGAGCGCGTCGGCTTCGCCTTCCTTCCTCGCGGCTGCCAGTTCAAGCTCCGAGGTCTTCCGTATACCGTGACATTCCAGGTCGTGCCAAAGAAGCTTGACTCCCTCTGCGAGAAAGATTTCTAGTTGGTAGCAGCGGGCTTCTCGGTGGGCGAGATCGATGACGGATTTGTGGTGCGAGGCGAGGGTTTTGTTGAAAGACGTGCGCTGGTGTAGTAGGGAGGATAGGAGGTCGGACAGGGCTTCGTCGGAGGCTTTTTGAACTTCTGATTCGATGGTGGCACGGATGGAGGTGTTCTGGCGCCGCATGGTGGAGAGGTTTTGTTGCAGTTTGGCTACCGTGGTGCGTAGGGAGGTGAGTTCGTCGCGGTCGCGATCGCGCTGGGTAAGGCGGTCGTTGTTATATTGCTCGCGATTGCCGTTGCTGTAGCAATAGCCATCGTGATTCTGATTTTGGTCGCTATGGTTCGGTGGAGGGAGGGCGTTTGTTGGACCGCGGGCCGGGATGCGCGAGGAGAAGGAGGAGGGATTGTAGGTTTGGGGGCGTGCGGTTGCGGCTATGATGGATGGGTGTGTGGACCACTATGATGGATGTTTAGTATGCTAGGTTGTGGGGAAGTGAGAGAGGGTTAGGGACCTTGGATACCAGGAGATCAGCACTTCGCGTGATGGGAGGTCGTAGGTGGGCTCGGAGAGAGATGTTGCCATTGGTGAGACACGCTGAGGGGGGAGAAGAAGGGGGCTCCGGGGTCCCCTCTTTGGACTCGGGGAGAGGGATTGTAGCGGCGGATAGCTCAGGTGGAGGTTGCTGGCCGGCCATTGCTACGGTGTGAGAGTAGTCAGTGGCGATGGTTGTAGTGGTGAGGAGGAGGAGGAGGAGGAGGAGGAGAAGGAGGAGTGAGCAGTACTGAGTAAGCAAGAAGGTTTAAATAGTCGTTTGCAGGGACAGGTTTAGGCGCAGGCTGTTAGCTGTCTGTTTAGTATAATGAGGTTTGCAAGAGAGAATCGTGCAGCATATTCGACAGATCTTGGGATGGGGAAGAAGTGGTAAGTGTAACTGGTAAGGAAAGTAAAGGTGCTTTCTGTTCTGATAATAGATCAAGTATTCACTTGAGGGGGTATAGGAACAAGACAGAGGGTAAAGGAGGGTTACTAGAATCTAGAAGGTGTTAAACCAGGCGGTAGATGTGTAATAGTGCGGTACTATCTTAGAAATATGGACGAAAGAATAATGGGAGTAAGAATGCAGCAAGGGTGATTGATGTTAGATGGGGGAGTGGGGGGAAGCGGAAGAGTCACTAACTTACTGTCATGCTCTTGCACACTGCCTCCAGACCAATTGGGAACTAACAGACGTGTGCAGAGACATTCTCAGAGTGTTGTGATATTGGGCAGCAGAAGAAAGATGTCAGCACCCTCACTGCTTGCTGTCCCAGCCTGACAAGCATTCAAGACCCGACTTTCTGCCCCGAAAACAGACCGCGGAGGCTATGAACGATGTCGGTGTTCCATTTCTTCTCCCCCTTTCCCCAACGCTAAGCCTGAATGAGTTCCGAGGTGAATATCTCCTTCTATTATTTTCGCTTTGCCCCAAGACTTGCGCCACCACCTATCCTCCCTCTCAATTCACCCCTCAAGGTAAGGAATTAAAAGAAACAAAATATAGAAATCCTCGGGAGGCCGTCACTCCCTATTTTAGTGCGTCCTCCATCACCCCTATACACTTTTCCCGCTTACTACACAAGGGATCAAGAATAGGTACAAATGAGAGACCCAGGAATTGGCTAAATTAGGTAATAAGATAGGTAAAAAGCTAGAAACGGAGAAGCAATGACGCGTGTGATAGCTGACGTTGAAATTAGGTTGCTGAGTCTAATTTGAGGTGTGGAGGCATGACGTCAACATATGCGAACCCCATTTAAGGGGCGGAACAACATGAAAGAAATCCATGCAAAAAGATGGGGGTGAAATCAGACGCGGCGGATAGCTACAGATGCGGGGTGGAGAATGGAGTGGCATCACGTGACTCCCAAGGGTTTGCGTTGGAGCTTTGTGATCAATGGTTTTCGGGTTACAGCATGGCATTGATTGTGACGTGCTCTCCACATGGTTGGATGAAATGAGAGATGGCACTTTGTGATGTTTGACTTCGCCGATTTTGGGCTTGGTATAAATGGCGTAATTTACTGGCGCTGATGCATCATTACGCCCCCTGAGTCCTTTCTCCATTGATTAGTTGCCGGTGGGTATCAATGCCGCTCTTGCCGTTATGGGGGCTTTGCATTCATGCGGGCTTTGCATTCCTTCGGGCTTCGCATCCATGCTCACTTGTATATAAGGATGATTACTGGGACACTTAATCCCGTCTGAACACTAGCACTAAGATACCCTAGTAATTCACTCAACAACTCACCATGTCCATCGAACAGCGCTTAGTCGAAGGAAACAATGCCTACGCCGCAACTTTCACACAAGGAGATCTTGCTCTCCCTCCGTCTCAGAAATACGCAATCCGTAAATTCTCCCTTCCCCCTTCTCTCTCATCTCTCTCCTAAGCCCCACCCAAGTAACCTGCATGGACGCCCGCATCGACCCAGCCGCCGCTTTTTCCATCCCCCTCGGCTCGGCCCACATCATCCGCAATGCCGGTGCCTCCGCGCGCGCCGCATTTCGGGATCTCGTCATCTCCCAGCAACTGCTCGGAACAACCCAAGTCCTCATCATCAAGCACACGGGTTGCGGGATGCTAACGTTTGATAATGCAACGGCGAGGAAGTTGGTGAAGGAAAGTAAGGGGGAGAAGGCGGCGGAGGAGGTGGAGGACTTGGATTTTTTAACGTTTGGGGATTTAGAAGGGAAGGTTAAGGAGGATGTGGAGTGGTTGAAGAGTAAGGCTGTTGAGAAAGGCGTGAGCGTAAGCGGGTGGGTTTATGAGGTTGAGACAGGGAAGGTTAGGAGGGTCGTTTAGTGGGGGTTGACTACCTGCCGTTTCGTAGTCACGCCTACTGTGTATGATAATGAATCTAGCCATGTTATTCATGCGATCGTTATTTTAGTTGTTGACATTCGGTTTCCGGAGAGGATTCAAGAAGTTTAGCGCTAATCCTGTTTCGCTCTAATACGAAAAGCAAGTGTGGCGAATTCCATGGCGGGCTTCGGACTTCGTAGACCCGGCCTCTCCAACAAGCACCGCCCCTCTACACCCTCACCATCGCTAACCCGCCCAAAATGGCTGGTGAACACCAGGAGACTTTCTTGATGGACCTTATGGCCGGAACGGATCGCGAAGACCGAGAGATCTGTCTCCTAGACCCGGTATCCACAATCGAGCAGGCGCCCTTCTTTCAATGTGATCTCCTGCCAAGAATGGCTCCGAGATACCGGAAAACCTCGCTCATGGATCTACCAGAAGAACTGCTATCGCAAGTCATTATCAATTTTAATGGTATTCGAGCCTTCGAGACTCAAGCTCAGGCCTTCAAATGCAAACCCTGCGAGCGATCAAGGCAATGCGAGAATCATCAACGACAAAAAACCTTGCATGCGCTTTCGCTTACTTCAAGGGCGCTGAAAAGAATCTCAGAGCCCGTCCTATACTCCTCTTTCCCAGGGATAACCACCTGGAATGGGCTGCAGCGACTTCGTCAATTCAGTGCGGCAATCGCCAGCCGACCACACTTTGCAGGCTACCTCCAATATGTCGAGAATCGGTTTAGTGACTATATTGGGAACAGCCTTTATGATGACCTAGAATTCTATGGCGCTGAGGAGATGGTGAAAGAGTATTTCTTCAAACTTGGACGACTTATTGAGTCCTCCCCAAATATCAAGCACATCTCCGTCGTTAGCATGGAAGCTTCTGACATCTCACTCTGGAAACCTCTACTCTGGAAAAATAATGGAGCTCCTCAGATTACAGCACATGGACTCCTTAAGCTTGAAACTTTGTGTCTTCAGCTGAACACGAACGACTATGGCATGGGCGAAGAATCTAGTCGATTTCGGCATATTACGAATGCGTTGGCCTCTCTTCCATCCTTGAAGCAGTTCTCAGCGAGTGGAGTGGTTACACCCGACGACGTTACCCCGTTAGTGGGTAAATGTGAAAGCCTCAACACCATCAACGTGTCAGAGTGTATTTTGGACCTCGAGGAGATAATTAGTCTCGTATCTGTCTGCGACAACTTGAAGCATCTCACCGTTCACTGGGCATACCTCAATAGCCAGAGGTTTCAGTTGTCTGACCTCTACGCCGCTCTCCGGAAACACAAGGACTCCTTGGAGCATCTTCAACTAGACACGCGTAACGTTCGTTTTCGCGACTCCGATTTCCCTCTTATGCCCTTGGGAAATTTGCGAGATTTTAAGACTCTACGTTCTTTGGTGCTGTGCGAAACGAGCCTTCTTGCGCCATCGCGACCTCTCCTCGAGTTTCCCGACGTATTCTTCCCAATGCGGATGTCGGAAGTGCTTCCACCGTCACTTGAATCTCTAGCCATCCTTACAAAGCCTACAGCTCCCTGCGTAACCCACTACCGAATCGACGCCGCTGTGGCACTCTGGGAACTTACTGGAAACCGCCACAAGTACCTTCCAAATCTGACCGAGGTTCGAGTTTCTTGCCCCTACGACCTCTTTGCCCCTGGCCTCACTCTACAATTCGCGAAAGTTGGCGTTACTCTGGTACTGCAGACTGAGGATCAGGAGGTGTATGAGGATTGAGCCCTGATAAATGCAATGATAGTGTCTTTGCACGAAGCACGATGTCAACCCATTTTGGAACTTGATCACCCCTAGCAAGGAATTGGATTCGTTGGTCTGGGATGGTCACACAACTTTCCCTGGACCAAAACTCTGCAATGGATGTCTATAGCTTCTAACTGGAACAGATGTGGATTCCCAATACACTGCGATGCTTTGAGCGTTTCATTTATCTAAATTCTGTTCTTTTGGGACTTCGTCCTTGTGGCTGTGCTGATATTAGCAGCTATCTCACTGCTACTCTTTATATATTCTCACTTTGTAGTCGTCCAGCCACTTATCCTCGATAATGACCAGCTGAGTCTCTTGCGTTTTCTTAAAGTATCCTTCTTCTACATAGTCGTCTTTGCCCACGTCCATGTACCCCTCCTTTGCAACTGATCGTGGGACGATCATGAGAGAGTGGCCTATCCGTTGGCTATGAGTCAGAAAGACACTCCGAGGAGTTACCAGACCCTCACTTACCATTAATAGTTTGATCGCAAGCTAGCCTCATCATGCAGGAGGCTACATCTTTCTGCTCTCCAAATTCAATGCCTCGATCTACAAGCCATTTCTCGTATTCTGCCGTTCTTATCGCGCTTTTGATCCAACATGGAGCGACGTAATTGATGCGGATACCCTGTTCCCAACTCGATCGTCTAGCCGTTCTCATAAAGCCATGAAGTCCGTACTTCGTCGCTGTATATTCCCAATTTCCCTAAGACCACGAAGTGAGACCCTGTACCTTGGGCGCTTGGGGAGCGACACTCACCGGTGAATCGATCCACGCCACCATACTTCCGGTGATAATAAAACATCGATCTCGATCATCTGTGTCCGACTGTTTCCTAAAGTAATGCACGGCAATCTTCCACGTGTAGAAATTACCACGTAGATTCACATCTACAATTCTTAGTTCCGGCTTCGTAGGGTCTCCGTTTGGGTCATCTAAATTCCATAAACTATCACCTGAACTGCGACTAATCCCCGCATTCGCAATGACCACGTCCACGAATCCAGTTTTCTGCTTTGCAAGCTCGAACATCGCATTTTGCTGACCCCAATCCTGAATGTCCACCTTGATGAAGGCAGTACATTCCCGCCCGTGTTTGGCGTTGAGCTCCTTTGCGATTTCGTGGCCGCGTGGATTCACGTCTCCAAAGGTCACAAAAGCACCTTCTGCGGCGAAAGTCCGGACACAATATTCGCCCATACCATTTGCGCCACCTGTTATTACAACTGATTTCCCTTTCAACTTGGTGCAGTCAGGGAGAATGGTGTGGTCGACGGGACCGGTAAATGAGTAGCGAGGGAGCGGAGGCATGGGGGTGAAAGATCTTGACCACAACTGATGATTGGTGTTGATAGAACCTGGGAAGCAAACTTCTTGAAGAGGCACAAGACACAAGACGAATACTGGATTCTACGAAGGCCGTTCCCGTGACTCACACAGAGTGATCCACAGCAGGGTGCTGTAAGGTTCGAAAGCGAGTCTGTGGGGTTTTCGGCTACATTCATCCGCGGTAGGCTGAAGCAGGATAACCGTCGGCAAGCAATCTTAGCCGCCCAATGTTTCCTTCTAGGAAGGCATCTATTACCTTGCTGTGGTGATTCCGGGTCTGAGCGTGAATAATTCGAACAGCGGCTGTGGCAAATGCCTTCTTGATGTGAATCAGCGCTCATTTTGGGCTCGGACCCGTGTAGTTAGATGGAATCTCCGCTCTACCCTATCGGTCCGAAGTACTTCCTGCGTCAGCACCGAGCATCGTCCGCCTAGCCAGCACATACATCGATTGCACTCTTCTCGAAGTCGGTTCCATGGCTCAAAAACCAGTCGTCCAAATCCCTCCGGGGACTGCGTCAGTGCTTGTCAAGCTCATTAATCCGGTCAACTTTGGGCCGGCGCAGATTCAAAGGTTTATGGCGCCACCAGTTCCTGGACTCAAGACATTCCAGTCGTCGCCTTCGTTCTCCTTTCTATTGGAGCATCCATCTGGACGAAAATTGGTGTTTGATCTCGGGATTCGGAGAGATTACCAAAACTACTCCAAGATGATTGTCGATTATTTACCAAGCACCGAATATGACATCGATGTAACGAAGAATGTAATTGAGATACTTGAAGAGAGTGGCGTAAGTGGTCGAGATGTTGAAGCCGTAATCTGGAGCCATTGGCATTGGGATCACATTGGGGACCCTTCATCGTTCCCGGCTTCGACTGATTTGATTGTTGGAGCTGGCTTCAAGGAAGCAATGCTCCCTGGCTACCCTAAAAACCCGGATTCGCCAATCCGAGAGAGCGACTACGCAGATCGAAAGCTCCGGGAAATTTACTTCCATGGGCTGAACAGTTTGCAGGTCGGGCGATTTCCTGCATTCGATTACTTTGGTGACGGGTCTTTCTATCTGTTAGATAGCCCTGGCCATGCTATTGGGCATCTTTGCGGCCTCGCCCGCACTACAATGAATCCCGACACCTTTGTTCTTTTAGGTGGCGACATTTGCCACTACCCTGGAATATTTCGGCCATCTGCACATCTTCCCGTTCCAATCTCTATCTCTCCCCACCCTTGCCATCTCCACAGCAGCGTACCCTTCTGCCCTGGAAGCTCATTTGTCGAGCTACAAAAATCGCGGAACCGGAAACCTACCGATACGCTCTACGACATGACCTTCGGTCATGACATTCCACGTGCAACTGAAACAATGCGCCATCTGCAAGAGCTTGACTGCGACGAGAACGTATTCGTAATCATTGCTCATGATTCCACTGTCAGGAATAAGGTAGACCATTTCCCCAGGAGTCTTAATGACTGGAAAAAACAAGGCTGGGGGAAGTCGTTAAAGTGGGCATTCTTCCGGGATCTTGAAGCTTACTGGAAAGAGAAGGGCTTGGTCTAAGACGGCGTTGGAAAAAGAAACCTGTAGATGCAACGAATTGAATCAATACTACGTGCTAGACGGCATCTGTTTGCTTTGCCATGATTCCTTCAGACTAGGCATCGGCACAACTCTCGGCTTTCTACATTGGGCCTAGATTAGACGAACAACAATTGACCAAGTCATTGGCATCCTCGCCTCCACGTTCTTCCCCAGTCCGACGAGTATGAGCTTGCTCACAAAGAGCGTATTTGGTATCGTAAAATACTAACCCCGGCATTTCCATCTCCACGCTTCCCCAGACTGTGCGCCAGGGTGGTCTCGGCGGCCATGATGATTGGCCATCTTACTGCCGTGCATAGGGTGAACCGACAGCCCGGTAACTCATATACTCCCCCCAACAATCTGGATCTGAGTGTGAACAGTTCCTGCATCAATATAATCATTTTGAGTCTTGGTTTCATTAACGATCATGACCGATATTGTGAAGCCTGCCGAGATCAGGTCGGAGGACATTAAGACCGCCAACCCAGACACGGAGGAAGTGAAAGAGTTTACTATTGACACGAAGCATACCGACGAAGCCTTGAAGGTTCTGGTTGGATATAGCGGTGAACAAACTTGGACGGAAAAAGAGGAGAAACACCTACGTCGAAAGATTGATCTCAGGTTGATGCCGGTGTTATGCATGACGTATGGGCTGCAATACTACGATAAAGCCATGCTCTCTCAAGCGGTAATAAAATAACCTTCATTATTGCATAGTGCAAACTGATTTTGCTTGTGTAGGCTCTATTTGGTCTACGAACGGATTTGCAACTTAGCAAAGGGAATCGCTACTCCTTCTCCGCTGCCATTTTCTACCTTGGTTTCATCGTTGGCGCATACCCTGCAATGATACTCGCACAGCGCTTCCCAATTGAGCGTGTTGCTTCTGCGATCGTCACAGTTTGGGGATTTTGTTTGATCCTCACTACCGTGTGCTATAACGAGCAGGTATTAGCCTTCCTTTTCGGAAGCTTGGATGACATAATCAGGCGTCTCGCTTAGCGCACAGGCCAGCATCTAATATATGTCCACCAATCGCCTCTCTCACTCCTTTACTTAACCATGAAACTTCAACGAAGGGCTCTGTGTCAATGATGAGTGAGGGTAAGTATATATAACTGGTCTAATGCTGGCAGATGATAAAATACAACTAACATTAGACAGCAAACAGGCCCGACGCTCTCCGCCCAAGCCTTAGCAATCTCGATAGTGAGGAAACTGAAAAAGCCGAGTCCGGTAAAGTAACTACCAACTTCCGATGACAATCCAGCCGTATACTGTGGGATTGTCCCAGATGCTAATGTTTTTGAGCGCTCCAATCCGCGCGCACCAGGTTCACCAGCAAGAAACCTCCGAAACCAGCAACCCCGATGGCCGATCCCGACGAAATGAACACAGATAATGTCCGCAACAACCAGGTAGTAGATAACGATGACCATCTGAGCAATAGTCACCTATTGCAGTTCAGTCTAGGCGACAGAGAACTGCAGGATAACGATGATAATGTGGATGAAGGAAATACTACTGAAGGCGATAGCAACAATGAAGCTGGCGACAGTGAAGGCGGGAATATCGAGGGAGGTAGCAATGGCAACAACAGCAAAGCGCAGGAGAACCACCAAAATCGGCCAGATACCAGCATGAACCAAGGATTGGAGTATGCTCTTGCATTCCAGAAGCTGCATCAATTAGCTGGAGAAAACCCGATGTGGAGACAGAATCCGATGGGTTTCTTCCCGCCTAAATTTGGATGGCAGTTACCAGGAGATTTTGCACAACGCCAAACCCCCGCCGAATCTAGCTACACACTGCCCGCTCAAACCAATCCTCCCCGCAAATCCAAGAATACGGCCTCATCTGAATACAATCTGTCCGAAAAACAGAGGATTGTCGTGGTCAACGGCAAAAAGGTCATTCAGGACGACTACTGGACCGACCTAGTGGCAAACGGTCAGATCGTTCGGAATAAGGAGACATTCTCTAATGCATTCCGTGAATTACGCCAGTTCCCACGAAATCGGCCGGTATACCTTCGACCGCGGGTGGATAAGCACGGTAATGGCATCACCGTGTCTCTGAACGTGGATAAATCGCAGAGCGCCGAGGCCATCCAGGCGTTTATGGTGGGGGCCGAGCAGATTCCTTGTGAACAATGCGCAGCATCCAGTGGGAAATTCCCGATATGCGTCACTGTTCAAGGCTTTCTCAAGGGTTCGTGCGCATGCTGCCATTATGGAGGTGAAGGGGCTAAGTGTTCGTTCCGCAACCGTAAGCGTTAGATACACGGCCGACTCCACCAGACTCTAACAGTATATAGAATATGCATCTGGTGGCAATCGGCGATCGATCGACACCACACCCAAGAAGCGCAAGATTTCTGGAAATGATCTCCTAGACAAAGGACTCGAGCCTCCAAAATACCATCAGAAGCAGAAGCAAGCCCTCCCGACTCCGGCCGCAAGCTACCATAATTCCAGCAGCAATATTGGCATGAATCTCGACCATACTGTTGATGTCTATCAGATGTCAATGGCCGGACGTTCCCGACTTATGCAGAGTCTAGTGGCAGGTATGACTGATACTGTCGGCAAGATAGAGAACTCCATCAGCCAGCTGTGCAAATACGGTCGCAAGATCGGGGAACAGCATGATCTTCTGCTGTCGATTGCCCAGGCTAATCAGCTGGAAGCGGAGCCAGATTCGGACCAATCAGAATCAGAGGAATCAGATAGTGAGGTCGAAATCCGGTCGAGCAACATGAAGTCCAGCAGCAAATATAAGAAATCCGGCCGCAATGTCAAGAACTCTAGTAGCAACATACAGAAATACGGCAGGAAAGTTAGCAGCAACACTAAGAGCAGGAAACGCAAGCAGTACGAAGATGACTCCTTCGGATGACAGCAATCTCCAGCCTAATCCAATGGATTTTGATACGACGGCAATTACCACACAACACTACAAAAAGGCGCTCAGGCCTATAAATACCCAAAAAAAAAAAAAATTTCATACAGGAAAATCAGGGACTGCATGCCGGATAGCAGGCGGCTTTTGACAGGATGCCACCTAGCAAAGCGAACGGATGACGGTATGATACCCACTGATAATGATATTTGGCCTTAACGAATGCGACGGATATAGAGCCAATAGCGGCTTAGGTCTGTTAGTGAATGGAAGGACTTCAGACAAATAAGTGCAAAGTGACTTACAAACTCTAGCAGATTAACACTAATAGAGGATGGAATTAAGTGAAATAATAATCGTACAAACTATCCCCGCGCGTAACCATAAGATGCTGGATATCAGTCCGAGTCGAGCGGGTTATCCAATCTGTAAATCGACGTTTCTGCTGCTGTAAACGTCGTATCTCCCGTTTTTCCTCCCTCTCCCACCGAACAGTATCGTTATTGACTCGGGTAACAACCCAATATTCTTCCCACGCCATCTGACAATCATCGTCAGTCTCTAGATCAAAATATTTGCTTGGAGACATAGGGCACGTGTTATCAGATTTAGAGCGTATCTTAGGTGAGATACTCCTATAGTCTAGATTATTATCCGTAGGCAAGAGGGAGGGTGAGCGAGCTGATGGACCAGAATACTGGTTAGCTACAGGAGGACAACACAGATCACAACTGGAGAGCGTACAGGCCTAGGATTTCTAGTAAGCAAACAGCCAAACTCTAGCAGATATAATCACTAACCCAATGTGCATGAGGCCGAGTCCAAACGTTTGAAGGTTCAGAACTATAGAATTCCTCCGACCGCGCCCGACGATGACGGGGCACAACCTTGTCCATATGAACATGCCAAGGGAAATTAATACCATCAGCCTTAAACATCAGCCTCAGTAGACGCCGATTGTGGACGAATTCGAACGGAGGAACGTCAGATCCAGTACTGGATAAAGTCGGAACGCGAAGCGGACCATCCCGGAGAGGCCACTCCTGGACTATGTTGTTCTGACCCCAGAAAGATGTCCACAAAGTAAGCAGATATTGGGGGTTGATATCCCGATAACAACCCCACCACGTCCAATTTACAAAACCACCGGAAACATCAAATGGCCAATCAAGTGGACGACCCTGATGTTCTAGTATATACGGCGGGGGACGGGTGGATGACAGAGGGACGTTATATGCCTAACACTATTAGCTTGGTAACCGAAGGAGTAACAGTACATACGTTTATATAAGAATAGTCTGCTGACCGCACTCTCTCACCAGTAAGACTAAAGTAGAGCGCAACTAATTGATAGGTGGCCCACTGATACCAACCCCGTGGATCCCTCCTAAGGTCAGACCATAGCTTGCTAGTAGCACGACGCTTGCGGGCAGGAACATGGCAGAGAGTAGACGCATCAGACAGCTTGCGAGTGATACCCATAGCAAAACAAACGTTAAAGACAAAGGACAAAGGCTGTAAAGAGGAAAGAGCAGAGGAAGCAGGACAAAAAAGAAAAGGAGAAGAGCGGGAAGGAGCCCTTTTTAAATTGCGCCCAGCCGAATCGGCCAGATTACGCCTTAAGTGCGGCAGATTGTGACCCAGGCATCGCTGATACGTGCACAAAACACGGCACATGACTAAGTAGATTACAACAACACCTCCTTGTACACGACATTAACAACACGCCCTATCGAATCAGCCCGGTTTAAAATACATATGCCAGATACGGTTGTAACCCTAGAAAGCGCAACATAAAGCTGTCCATGCGTAAAGACTGGATGCCTCAAGTCCACACCTACAATCTCCATAGATTGGCCCTGTGATTTGTTAATAGACATTGCGAAACACAACCGGATAGGTATCTGATAGCGTACAATAGGAAAGGGTAAGATGTCGTGATCCTCCGATACTAATTTAATCCGAGCAACAGTTCTCGTCTGTCCGTCGAATTCACCCCCTAGGATCCTCCCGGTCACAAACGCGCCTTGTTGACCCAGGGCAGTAACCAACAATCGGGTCCCATTGCACAAACCTTCCCCAGGATCTAGATTCCGAAGTAAAATAACCGGGACCCCAACCTTCAAACAGAGTCTAGCAGGAGGCAAACCAGGCGGATTAAACGTCTGCAATAGATCCTCCGGGGGATGATCAACGCCATCTGATTCTGTCCGATATACCTCATCTGCAGACATGAATTCCCGGACGTCACCCTCGAAATGCCCAAGAAGGATATTATTAATCTCCGTAACTGCCTCGTTGCGGACCGCAAGGATACAGCGCCGTTGAAAGAAGCGCGCAGCAACAGCAGGGTCTGGAAATACACGCAGCATATCCAATGGATACACATGGGAATAAAAGCGACTTGTGGAGACAAACTCCTGGACACCAGGGAGCAGATCAACGTGCGTCTGCTCATCCCTAGATACGGAGAGTATCCAGTCTGCATAAGCCCGATTTGCAGCCCCAGCGTGCATTCTCATGTTCTCAGTCAAAGTCAGAACCGTAAAACGACGCCAGAGGGGGGACCGTTGAAGGCATGCCTGCACCGTTTGACCCCGGCCACCCTTAGGTACAACTGGCAGAATCTGCGAAAAATCGCCGCCAAATACCAATGGAATGCCACCAAAAGGCAGTTCGCTCTGTAGTACGTCGCGGAAACTTCGATCGACAGCCTCAAAACACAACCGGTGCTGCATAGGAACCTCATCCCAGATAATAAGGCTAGTTTCACGAAGCAGCTCGGAAGTAGGGGAGTTTGCGGCAAACGTGCAGAAGGAATCCTCCGTAATCTTGATAGGTATCTTAAACCTTGAGTGCGCAGTTCTGCCACCCGGAAGAAGTAGCGCTGCAATACCAGACGAAGCCACGCAGAGAACAATCTTACGCCGAGACCGAAATCGAGAACATAACGTTCGATAGAGGAAGGTTTTGCCAGTACCACCAGGGCCCTGAACAAAAAACCGAGCGTTGTTCGGATCCAAACACACAGCAGACTCAATAGTATCAAACGCCGATTTCTGACCGCAATTTAATTGGTCATAGGACTCAGTAAAAGCAGT